AGGACAATTAATCTATGACCTTGTCTTCCAAATATGTATTACACTACCCTCACCAGAATGTTGTAATTTTCTTTGTTGCCAATCCAGGAAGGGCAGCGGCCAACGGTCAGGCAAACAATCACGTGATCAGCGCGGGGCCAAATCAATAACCTTTGAAGGTCATATAGCATACAGCATACCCACTGCATTCAAACACTATGTTTGGTCGACAATCGTCACATTTGCATTCACGCCTTTGCAACTGTAGAGGACATTCGTTATAATAGTTTTAGACAGTCTGTAAGTAATTGTTTCGACAAATACAATCGATAGTAATGATTTGAAAGTTCGTGACCAAAATTCATGATGTTTTCTTAATGGTGTGATAGTATTTAAACAGTAAAACTGTATATGACGAGGTTTTTCAAATAAATTGGTATTAACTTATAAGAAAATGCACGGTTCTCGTGAAACCCAGGTTACGGGAAAATTCTCTTTAGTAAACCCGGAGCAAAACAAAAAACATTTGCCTTAACAAACTTATTAGCACACAAGATACTAGTTAATTAACCAGTGAAATAAAATTTTATTTCACTGGTTAATTATTCTACACGTAAAATTAAGCACAAATGTTGTTAATTACTTTAAAATATTTATTATATATGATGATTCGTGGAAAATTTTAGGCAAACCGGTGGGAATCGAGTTCTATGGACGCCTCGCCACTGTAACTTACTATGTAACGTACTTCAATACCCTCCCTACTTTCTCAAATAATTGTATAAAGAAGAAATTAAAAAAAAACGAACCTCAAAAGTTTGATTCAACATATCTATTTGGCAAGTTTGTTTGAAGTCGGTTAACGGAAAGTTGGTGAAATCCAATAAACCAAATTTATTCCCGAATTTACCACTCTCAGAGGTGGAATATTTTTTTCAAATTTGAAACCACTACTGACGAATCACACTTCCAACCAAAAAAAGAATCATCGAAATAGGTTCACAAATGTGGGAGATAGCGAACATTTCAAAAAATGCAGTCGAATTGGAAACCTCTTCTTTTTTACGAACTCGGTTAACAAAATGGTTTTCGCTGCAAAAAATCAATGAAGAACAGAAAGAAATGAGATATAAACATTAAATCGAATTATAATTAAACAGTTATTTATTTAGTAGCAGTAGAGCTCCTTGTGAAAGAACCTTACCTATTTCTGCCGCCGAGCAGTAATGTCGGCATTACTGTGTTCTAGTTTTGAAGTAAGGGTGCTGGTGAAATTATAGGCACACGAAACTTGTCAACTTATGGCTTAGGGCAGTGCCCCTCAGATCTATGCGACTTAAAGCTTTGAGTGACACTGCAACTGTTCTGGACAGGCATATGGCTCACCATCAGGCGCAGGCCTGTTCGGCCAATCACTTGATATTATAAAAAAAAACAATAAAGAATGATGAGAGTAATTTCAGTTGACATTGAAATATGGCTTATCGTAATCCGGAAGGAAAATTTCTGGACCCGGTTTGGGATGATTGGCATGAATACCTTCCTTGACGGTTTTATCGTTGAAAATTATAGCGTATAAGTCCGATACTTATTTATGAAAGCTATAGAGGGATGTAGTGTTGTTTCTAGAATGACTAAAACGGGGCTAAGTGACAATATATTTTTTTATATGTCTTAAAAAACAACAACTCAGTTTTTAATATTGAAAATGTTTAATGATATTTCAGTTATGCATCGATAGGTTAAGTTCCGATACGTCGAACACGTTAACTAATATTGTTTTTAAAAGAGAATTTTGTGCTCAATCTTTTGCTATTTAAAACGGATATCTGACCATTTGTCACTTAGTCGCGTTTTTGTTATTGGACGGCAGATATAAGTATATATTTTTATGGCTTACCATTTAACCAGAATAGCTTAATGGTTTCAGTGTATGAGATATTTTTAGACTCGCCTTGACCTCCAAAGTGTCATAGACAGCATATTTAACCGACTTCAAGGTTTTTTGTGTATCTTATGCGATTACTCCGGATTATTTGTGAACCGATTTTTATCATTCTTTTTTGTTGGAAAATGGGTACCTCAGTAGTACCATTCCAATTTCAAGAAAATATTCCAATGAATCCAGACTATTGGATTTCACCCACTTTCAGATAACAGATTTGAATAAAACTTGGCAAATAGATCCGCAAACATTTGAGGTAGGTTTTATATACCAAATGTTATTTTATATGGTGATCGTTGAATGACATTTTATTGCACATTATTCTTTCATGTTTTAAAAACGCTATGATATGGCTATCGAATATAAGTTCTTGTTAAGATGATTCCAGAATAAATTACGTATAATATAATCAATGACGAGCTCAAGTTTTTGCTTCATTGCAAAAACAAGATCCGTAATCTGTAAATAGACTAACAACCATTTTAACTTGAGCCTGTGTCTTACGTCTTAGGAGATAACTATGGAAGTTTTTGAAGTTTTTTTATTTATTTTTAGATGCTTGTTGATATTTAATAACAAGCGAGTTATTACGATAAAAAAAAACTTGATTGCAAAAAACTAAAGCGAAACAAACCTGTGCTGTCCTGTTTTAGATATGTTAAATTCACTTTCAATTGTTTTAGCTTTAGCAGTAGCGTGGAGCTCCTTGTGAAAGAGTTCGTCCAGGGTCACAGTGCCACGTTACCTATTTCTGCCGCCAGACAGTAATGTCAGCATTACTGCGTTCCGGTTTTGAAGGTTAAGGGTGCTGGTGAAATTACAGGCATATGGGACTTGTCAACTTATGTCTCAGGGTTTCGGGCGCAGTAGCAGTGCCCCTCAGATCTTTGCGATTTAAAGCTCTGAGTGGCACTGCAACTGGTATGGACAGGCGTGTCGCTTACCATCAGGCGTACGACTTGTTCGTCCCGTCACTTGATATTATAAAAAAAGTGTGATACGTAAGTCAATAAAAAATAAATCGAACATAGTAAAATAATTAATCATGAAAAATATAACGCAGAGAGGTTTTGTAGGCAGTGTCATGTTCAAGAATTCATACTTAAACATGACAAAAGTCGTTGGGTTATTAATAACCAAACGATTTTTGTTTATCCCTGCGTTTTGACATTTGAATATTGGTCTGAACATCTACTATCGAATATATAATCAGAAATAGAGACGAAATAAGGGCCATCTATCCCTAGCAAATCATCAGGCAAATGGGCCTTATATCACTTTTAAATATCAACTCTCGTTTGCGCTGAAATAAAAAAATTAGAAAGCTGAAATAGTACAGCGCTAACAACTGACCTGTGTGTACGTCTCCGTATATTCCAAAAAGTATTCTGTATTTATTGTAATAAAGATAATATCTCTAACAATGCCGTGCTGTTCTATTCGGTGGTGTGAGAAAAACGGCAACACATCTAATTACAAAACAAACGGAATCACTTTTCATCGGTAATTAAATATTAAATAAGTAATTTAGCAATTTTCGTCCATTATAGCAAAGCTCAAGTTAATTGGTCGATTTGAAGTGAAACAATTGACGACACTCGTCAATTGTTTCGAATTCGGGCTGGCCAATCGGAGCGCAGTTGTCACCGTAATAAATTAGGCAGAATAATTTTCTAAGAAATTAATTGACATTTCGTCTCTATTTCTGGTTATATACTCGATGACATCTACATACGTATGTGTATAGTAAAGTATATTTGATTTATTGTCACTAACGTGTCCATCGAACATTCAACAACACGACACATTGCTCGAACAGGATTTTAGAGCTTCTTTTTCTCTTTTCAGCTCTTTACTTATTTGTTTTTGTAATAATTATATTTTCTGAAATGAAAATACCGTATTTTTATAATAATGAATAGTTGTAAGTTGTTTGGATTAAATTAATGATTTAGAATTAAATTTACAATTTCCTACAATGACTTTTGCACCCTACTATTTTTAAGATCAAAAAACCAGTAAAATTATATTTCTAATTAACCGTTATTATCGTCCACGCATTCCAGTGCAGGGCACAGGTCAGAGTTAATAAATACTGTATTCTAATTATACAACTGCGAATACCTTTAGGTAGTAAATTCAAACTTTAAAGGTATGTATTTACTAAATTTAGTTCTAGCCAGTAGATCAATAATACCTTTAAGGTATTTAATGTTCGAGATCCGGGCAGTAATAATTGGTAATTATAGTCTTGTATGAAATGCCATGAAGCAGTACTGAATATTTAATGGAAAGATACTCAATGCTCAAGTAAAAAATTATATGAGATAGAAATAGTTATTTGTTATGCAAAGCTGCAAAGTTATCGGTGACGCGAGTGCTTGTATTGAAACCAGAGCAAGCGAAGGAAAAATAGATTCCTGAGCGTGGCTTTTCGAGGAGCGAGGGTTTCGAGGCACGAGACGTAAAACAACTTTGCTGCCGAGGGAAACACACAACTTCTCACCTCACTATAGCGAGGGAAATGGTAGATGAAAGAAAAACAGTTTAACTATAAAACATCAGTTCTTTTTTTAATTATAAGAAAAAGTTTATCTCCGGATGTTTTCTGAATTACACCTCATCAATTTTTATTCTTGCTTGTGCTTTTAATTTGTATCTTAGTTCTTCGACAAATTTAAATAATTAAAAGAATACAATTAGTTATCATTGTCAATTTAATGTCAACAATAATAAAAATAAAACATACCAACGGATTTATATGTCATAAACAAAGTACGAAAAATCGCTTAGTTGAACGTGTTATTATGTTTTCTTTTCATCGCAAGAAAAAGTTGCACCAGAGTCCATCTTCAAGTTTGAATTTCAAAACGCTTTTGGAACGCGAAAGGTGGAAACGCTTTTGCGCGCAGATTTCTACTGAGAAAAAAGCCTTTCCGAGCTAGTGAGGTGAAAATAAATATTATCGTTTTCCACAAAAGCCGAGAAAAGCATAATGAAAGAATAAGTATAAGTTTAGAGGAACGAGTGAGCAAGTAGTTTAAGTAAAATAAACTTAAAAGTTGAGTAAACTTACGCAGCATATCCTCCCCAAACACGACACAGGCACACATCACCAACAAAACCTTCCTCCACATGGTTGCAACGTTACAGTACGAGAGACGTGACGAAAGTGAGAGTACGCTCGCGGGCTAGCACTGCCGGCGCCGGCGCAATATCGCCTATTTATGTACTTGGTCCAAGCGATTGCAGCAGCCGACCCGCCGTTGTCGGCAATACACAACACATATTTAAATTTAATGATATGCTTTGAGAAATATTTGCGATGACACGTGACTGCGTCGGTGAGCGTGATCTTGGGATAGTGTTGTTTGAGGGTAGCTGGTAATTGTAACTATTTAATTGGATAAGTCTGAAACTATACTTTTGTAACTTTCTTTTTGTATTGGAAGTAGAATTAAATTTTATGTAAGTCAAAAATTGTTTAATTAGAACAAAATTTCTACTTAAACATAAACAATATCACCTTCTTCCATTCTCTGGAAGCTATGGTCATCAGAACTGCCTTCGAACTTTTTGTATCCTTTCTGATATCGAAGAGCCAAAGAGTTTTCTGGTAACGTTTTGTTGAACACGGAATTACCGTAAGCGTCTAGCTTTATAATGCCGAAGTACACTATATCGGGATTCTCGGCCTCTCTCCGCCTTTCTTTTCTTTTTTCCCTAATTATCAATGAATCTTTCACGGGTAGCATTAGTAGTGTATCTTGAGATTCCTCGGCGGGTCCAATTTTAACTTTTGCTTGAATCGCTCCGTTAATAGTTCTTTTAGATGTCAACGAATTTTCTTTTAACTCCATAGGTAAGTGGCATTCAACGCATCTGATATTTTGATTATGATCCATATTCAAAGGTTCGGGAAACAATCTTTCGTTTAAGTAAAACCTGTAAGTGCATTCATGGTTCTCTAAACTTGTAACGCTTCCTTTGCTTTTAATTCTTGTTTGAGTGTTGTGGCATTCGAAATAATTATTGTCTCTGAAGGCCTTTAACTTTTGAAGTGTTGTATATTCGTCGGTGTGAAGTTCCGTGTCAGCTTGGTTAATAATTCTAAATAAAGTTGATTCTAATGAAGAAGAATCGTCTTCAATCGCTGTAGGGACTTCAGGCATTTCTTCGATCGTGTCCAATAACGAAATTTTTTTCATTTCATTATTTATTTCATAAACAGAATCCGATATTTGTTGAAAATTTTCGTTCTTATAATATTGTTGTATTGATCGAGCGGGGTCTTTACTAGTTAGTATTAATTTTTCGGGAATCGAACCTACGCATGGTTGTGTCAGTGGAATCTTTATAGGATTTATTTTATTATTAATTATCGAACCCTGGAAAATTTCGCTCTGCGAAGGTTTTTCTATTCCTTTCGATGATTTTTGGCTACTATTTTCAACCGAGCTGTGAGAATGCGTTTCAGAGTACTTTTGTCTTTCTTCTTTGATAAAGTCAATCATTTTGTTGGTGGTGCTCGGAGTTGTAGACGACAGAACGTCGCCGCATTTCTTGCAGTGGTCTGAACAGTTTCGTTTTATAATTACATTTTGAGAACAGCACACTTCCGATTTCGTAGTTTTCTTTGGTTTCACAACCCTAGACTTTTTAATGCCAGATTCCATGCTGGAAAGACTTTTGCTGTCTTTTGAGGATTTTGAAGGAACCTTCTTAGCTGACATAGTCCTAGGTACGACAGTTCTTCGCCCCGTGCTCGTTTTGCTCTTGCCCGAAATAGATGCGGTATTCCTATTAGAAGGTTGACTTGAACTTTTGTTGTTCATGTCGTTTAATTTATTTGGCATTTTACACGAAAACTAAATCCACGCTACGACTGCAGTAAAATAAAACAAACAAACCGTTGCTATGGCAACAAGTCTCCTCATGTAGTCTGTGTAGACCAACAAGTGACAGCTGTTTCGCCGCACGTGACCTCTAGAATGTTAACTTCGGATTTCGAATTGCACGAAACTACCAGAAACTGCGAGTATATTATCGAGTGGTTGTTTACCAATCATAAATGTCAATAGTTACGTAATACAATATAACAAATTAGCGATTGCCGTGTTGCGATTCTGAAGCGCGATTTAACATCGTACTGGTAGCGACATCTCGTGGAGCTTGCTCGAAGTTGCATCAACATAAAAATGTCGAGGGCGTTGTACAGATGTCGCTTGCACTTAAGGTTCCACGGATGCTCTAATCAAAGGCATAGAGGCCATTTGTTACACATGAAGTATTGTTTTATTACTTTTATGTTGGAAATGATTAATAAAGATACTAACTGTTATTAAATAAATCATTGAGAAAATGGGAAATTACTACTTTGCGACTTTATTTCAAAAGAGACGTTTCCTTTCTCTACACAAGTCTACCGGCGATGTAGCCTTATTTTCTCCAATGTTGGATATAATGTTACAGGCCCCGTCAAGTAATATAGGACCAGCGGGACTATATAGTTTCGTAACACACTTTTTCAGAGTAACTCAAAGCATGTTTACGTGATTTGGTGCATTAATGGCGATTTTGTTTTTTTAGTTTCTTTGGAGATCTCAAAGGTCTTCTCAGGGTCTTTCATTGATTATGACCATTATCTAACAGTTCGGAGGTTGTGCAGTAATGCTACTGGCCGGGAATGTGTAATGACGGCGGTGCGCCTAATTGTTGTTCCACTCACGCGTTATTCATCGCCTCGTCGACGGCGATGATGCCGCAGTCGTTCTGAGGACGCAGATTACAGTGACCAGCAATTTAGCAAATAATAAAACTGTAAAAATACTACTTTTGCGGCAACAAATCAATGTGTCAAATTTACAAACAGTTATTCGTCAAGTCATGAAGACAGTGTAATGAAATAAATTGAATTGTATATCCTTCGTGACATTGGTGGAATTTTGAAAGACACAGAACAAGCCACTGTTATATTATAATAATAAGAAAAAGACGAGTACACCCACAGACATTCACACACACGCACAAATACAGAAAAAAGAAAAAATTTTACTATTACTATTAACAACACTTGCTTTTTTCTCTATATTAATTTAATAGATGATAATAATTGTGGGATAAGGACAGGAAGAAGAAGAATTGTTTATTTCAGAATGTCTCCATATCGTGTTAGTAACTTTATGCCTAAGTTAGTTAATACAGAAAAACACACAAATTTACATTTTAATCATTCCCATGCCTGCAGAAATGGGACGTCGACTCTCTCCGCGACTGTGGCCAGGAGACTGTTGGAGCTGCGACATATGCACCTCAGCTGCGACACCATTCTCTAACGCATGACCGTTTGAAAACCGTCTGTTGGTATTTCCGCGAAAATTCCCGACGCATGCAATGTAGCCCCAACAATTTAAAGTTGATTAATTGTTTATCTCACTATTACTGCATGGAGACTTCTTGGAATTTAATAAATATTATGGGAAATGTTATTCCCAAGAAGTCCACACCAGATCTCCGGTGTCCTGAAATATAAACGTTGAGCCTAGTTTAGGCATCACAATGTCTATAAAGTAGTTTATATAGCACTTGTATTATGTTGAGAAATGACGTTGTATTGTGGTGAGAAATAAAGACAAATTATAATTAAAATGTAAATGGCGTTGTATGATAACAACTATTATTTTTGTTTATATTCCACATAATTTACAGCAAATATAATACATTATCTCTGTGGTAACCGCGAGCGTGACTCCGCTTTCTTTTGGATGTACAAAAACTACAAGAAAACTTTTGTATTAACAAAATATTTAAAACTGCGTTTAAGAAAATGTAACATATATAACTATTACGGACTGTTACCGACAGAATTCTATAAAAGCGTTTTTAAAAGAATGGCCACACCAGTGTCATCACAGCACCCCATGGCTGCCATCTTCACCGTCGCGACTTTAGTAGTATTAGTAACCTGATGTGCGCAGGCGCTGCGCGGTTGTTTCGTCTGTGGCGATTTCGGCGCATCAACAAGAAAAAGCTGCGCGTCTTGAGGAAGCTGTTCAAGAGAAAAACATGAAGGTGTTTGCTGTGGCCATATTTGTTGCTCTGGTAAGTTATTTATGTAAATTATTATAAAATAAAATAATTAAATTTTGTTTGTTTTCATCTATTTAAAACTATGTATTAATTAGGTATCAAAAACACAATTATTTGTCATAAATATCAATAGGTACTTTGTGTATAATAATTGGCCACATAAGTATAACTTCTACATAACCCAATTACTACTTACTTACCTATTTAAATTCCAATTAGACAAGCACGTCGTGGGCAGGTAAACCTAAATAAAATAGAAGATATTCCTTTTTGAAAAAACAATTTTAAAATATTGGGAACAGAGAAGTATTAAGTAACCCTTTCGAATTTTTTTTTTTAATCTATGCTAATTTTAAAAGTAATATGCAGAACCTACACGGACAGCCGTGTAGGTTCTGCATGTGCACGTGTCTCGTTTATTTGTAATTTAGATAAATTGCTATAATAAATGCAATAGTTTCTTTTAAACACCTCAATAAAGTCAACATGAAAATGTTGACTCGGTAGTTATAATTCTAAGGAAATTTATTAGAATTAAAGATGCACCGGAATATCACAATTATTGTGTTGAGTATTGTGTTGAGTTTATTATGTAAGTACCGGTTTTAACCAAAATTTTTATACTTTTATGCTTATTAGCAAAATGTTGATAAATTTTGTGAAAAACTGTTTGTTTAGATTCAGTTCACTTGCTATATGTTTAGTTGTTTTAGCTTCAATGGTTGATTATTTCGGTCAATGTTACTTATGCTAGGAACGTTTATGAAGAACGTAATCTCTTTGATTATATCATTCATAGTGTTTAGTCCACTGAGTAAACAGATTAATGTACGAGTTTAATAGATTCTGTCTTTTTTGAAGATGCAGTCAAATGACAGTTCATTGCACAGAAGTGTTGCCCGCTTGCAAGCAGTGCAGGTTTATTCGAATTGTTAATTGTTGAAAATTCATATATACGCTAAATTGAGCAAAATGTGCATAAAAATACAAATTGAAGACCTATTTTAAAGTTTTTCATTTGAATTTAATTTATTTATTTTTATTTATTTGTTTATTTGCAAACTTTACAGCTTTTTAATTTTCGTTTACAATCATAATAATATACGTATATAGCCAATAACAAAGTTTGTCATATTACATTTTAATTATAGCGTTACTTTATCTAGCGTTAATCTATAGCCTAATCGCAAAACAAACATGTTGAAAATTTACATTAAGTTCTTAAATTAATGGTAATCTACATATTATTAAATTATTACATACAAATATAACATTATTATTATATAAATTATAAAGATGTAAGTGTAAGTATGTTTTAGTGTTGTGTGTGTTTGTGTGTGTGTGTGTGTGTGTGTGTGTGTGTCTGTGCTCTGTTTGTTTGATAATTATTGCCTTCTAAACTGGGGGTGATCCTTCAATATGTTTAGAAATTGAGTGCGGTTTAAATGGAAGATGTCCACGTCTCTAAATCTATCCTCATAAGTGCGCACTATTCTTTGCAAAACAGAGTGTTTTGCGTAATTCGAACGGGCTAAGGTCGTACACAAGGAGTGCATATGCCTCGTGCGTTTTGGACAGGCACACAGACCAATGCAAGCCGTTAATTCAGGACAATCCAATACGGAGTTAACCACGTCATATAGAAACTTCATGTCAGACAACAGACGTCTAACTTCGAGAGAATCTAGCTGATAGAAGTTAAGTCTGTCGAAGTAACCATCTTCCCTTTTGAGGCGGTAGTGCAATCTACGTGTGAAACAACGCTGCACGGACTCTAACTGGGCTATATGAGTCACATAAGACGGAGACCATATAGGGGCTGCGTACTCCATCACGCTCCTGACATAAGCAAAATACAGCTTTTTTAAAGATTCAATTCTTCGAAAAGATTTAGCACTTCTATGAAGAAATCCTAGCATTCTGTAAGATTTCTGAGCAATGAAGTCGAAATGCGATGTATACAAAAGCTTATAATCTAGTATTACACCCAGATCGCGGACGAGTTTGACTCTAGGAATACAGGTATCATTGAGATGGTATTTGTGAGACAGAAAAATACGCTTCCGGGTGAACGTGATAACTTGGCATTTTTTGACATTCAGATCAAGACGATTCAGTCTACAATAGTCCGTTAATCTGTCGAGGTCCGCCTGAAGCCTTTCGCAATCAGCTGCACAACCAATTGGCATAAAGATTTTATTGTCGTCGGCATACATTAAAACATTTGAATACTTAAAACATGTCTCAATGTCGTACAAGTATATGTTGAAAAGTAAAGGACCTAAATGAGACCCCTGCGGTACGCCCGATGGGACGGATTCCATATTCGATTTGAAAGCGCCAATCCTAACAGCCTGCGATCGATTCCGTATATAAGACTCAAGCCACCTCAGCAAATCCCCGTGCACACCGATATTATTTAGTTTAGATATTAAAATGTCATGATCGATGCGATCAAAACATTTTGAATAGTCGGTGTACACAGTGTCGACCTGGCCACCTCTGTCCATGTGCTGAGTAATAAAATTTGTGAAAACAGCAAGATTTGATACAGTCGATCTTCTGCGCATGAAACCGTGTTGAGAAATTGGAATATAGACTGCGGCCACCGGATATAATTGGTCATGAACGATTGACTCGAAAACCTTACCAAAAACTGACAATATCGACACGGGTCTATAATTCTCGACGTTCTGTCTTGAGCCGCTTTTATGAATCGGAGTGATGTAAGCCTCCTTCCATATGGTGGGGTAAACTCCCTCGCTCATTGACCGCCGAAAAATTGATGTCAGAGGAGTTGCAAGCTCCTTCGCACACTGTTTCGCAAAAAATGAAGGAATACCATCACTCCCAGCACCCTTGTTACGATCCAGTTTACGTAAATATTTGAAAACTAAATCTTGTGTAATTTGAATAGAGTTGATTGTATTAATTAAGTTAGATGGAGCCATAGCGAGGGAAGGACCATGAGTAGTGTTAGAGCCTCTATAAACGGAAAAAAAATATTCTAAAAAGGCATTACATATATCAGAGCCTCCACATGTCACGCGATCACCATGGGTCACATGAACGGGAATGCCCTTGTCCCTACGCAATGACCTAGTATATGACCAAAAGTGCTTTGGGTTGGTAGTAATTGCCGTTTCACAGCCATCGATATAACGTATCCAACACTCCTGTTGAACTGTCTTCTGGCGTTGCCTGAGCAAGGAGAAAGCATCATAGTCCAGTTTGTTTCCGTATTTCTTCCATGCCTTATGGTACTTGGATTTTTCTTTAATAATATTAATTAGAGGCTTAGAAAACCATATCGGATAACCACAACCGTCGCTTAAGAAGCTAGGTACCTCCTCCTTAATAACTCTCCGCAGCTCTGTTAAAAAGGATAAGACAGTATCATCTATTCCATCGCTATTTAGTTTGTTGGCCCAATCTACGGTAGCCAACCGACTCCGTATAACGTCATAATTAGCCCTCATAAATTTATAAACTCTTATTTTTGGGTCCCTTAACGTTTTATATAAAATTATATTTGGCATTTCCAAGTCGATAGCTGGATGATGAGGCATGTCCTCACGAGTTAAGGGGTGAGTACAGCGGGACGTCGCTACCTCCAGAGTACCAAAAACAAGGTCGAGATAACGACTGTTGCCGTTTATTACGGTATTATACTGTTCTAAATTAAAACTGGAGAGGGTTTGCAACAAATCACGCTGGTACTCATTAGTTACATTGAGTGGAAAAAGAGGTGGCAGATTACTGGAGCCAACATGCCATTCTACATATGGAAAATTAAAATCCCCCATCAAAAGATAATCAGCATTACTGTTTTTATCCATAAATTCTCTCAAGAAATCAGTCAAGTTAGCCACTTGTGCGTCGTGAGAAGCACCGGAACCGGGGAGGTAAACGCAGATGATATGTAGGTCGCGCGCCGCTCGCATTACGTGAGCACGTATTATAATATGAACCATATCGTACGGGGCATCAATAGGCGCAGCGAGAGCACGCGCACCGAGTGTTCGACGAGTTAACAGCATGACGCCTCCGCCCACCGAACGCACCCCGCCACCCGCACCGCGCCGCGCTAAACCGCCGCGCACCGGCCGATCCCGTCTATGCACGTCATATCGGCAATCGCTTACCTCTGAATCCATGAAAGAGTCCAGCAGCCAAGTTTCACACAATGCCACTACATCATAATTATGAAGGAGAAGCCCCTGGGTGAAGTCTGCCAGTTTACCGCGAATGCTGCGCGCGTTTTGGAGATATAGTTTAAAAGTCATTATAAATTAGTAATACACGCAATATGTAATAAAAATTACGCGCGCAGCAGTCACGATATGAGGCAGCTTTTAATTGTAATAGTGTTGACAGAGCAGTATGTGTGTGGGTGTAACTGATGTGTGAGGTTTGTGAGTGTGTGAAATGTGTGTATGATTGTAGCAAATACAAATAGAATTTAAGAAGCATGTTTCGAAATACAAAAATACCTGCGGAAATCTCAAAACAATACATCACTTTTTTAAACTGTCCAATTGTTCTAATTTGAATATACGAATAGCGGGCGCCTTGTAGTGTTGACGTACATAAATTTTTGCATTTCGAGTCCAGACGTTCTGAAACCCCAACTCCTTACATTTGATCTTGGTAGCCTTTAGTAAAGCTTTGTTGGTAGAAGTTAGGTGTTCATTTATATAAATAGGCTTTCCATCTCCCGGTAGCCCTATATCTGTGGATACTAAGCCGCGCCTCTTCCGCACCGCGCTCAGGAGGCTATCTCGTAGGTAGATCGACTTGAATTTAACAATTACGGTCCTTGGCAATCCCTTGGTATTTACACGGGAAGGAAGTCGTGTAGCATAATCAATATCCTCTTCAGCCAACTTAACCCCGACCACAGACGCAATCTTACACATCATTGGTGCTAACGCCTCAGTTTTCTTTTCAGCAATCCCGAAAATTTCAAGATTATTAATTCGTGCCCGCTGTTCGACATCGTTCAGATTCAG